CGCGCTCGGCGGAGTCCGACATGCGCGCTCGCCTCGTGACTCACGACTTCGTGACTTGCCTGCTTGAAATCACAATCGAAGCGACATCCATCGTCATTGCTCATGATTGAGCGGTTCGTGATGTTACAATCAGCATTTTCATACATGTGTGTGCCCAGAATCGTGATTGATTGAATTCGTCGTGGCCTGCTTCTCGGCACTGACATGGCACAGCATCAAAGTCTCACTCTGTCGGGAATGACAAGATTGTCCAATTGCAATCACTAACGATCCTTGACGGACCGTGGCGGAGGTGGCGTTGTGAGGAGCGTTTGCACGCGGTTTCAAGGCTGCGCGCATGGCTTGTGAGTTGAGCCGACTAGTAAATGCGATGAAAGTCCGTGGAATGGAGGTGAGTATTATGATCCCTGAAAGGTGTCTAGAGCGAAAAAGATACGATGACGAGAGCACATAGCAGAAGGGTCGACGAAGGCGCCACACCCCAAGCGCCGTTGGGACTGCTGCTCGATTCACGAGGAACGGAAGTGGTAGTCACTACGGTGGCTGTTGAGCGTGCGGTAGTGGACCCAGAAGCAGTCACCGTTGCGGCACTCGTTGGAGCACTTGAGGATGCGCTTGTTGATGATGACTGCGTTGTGGTGCTCTGAGGAATAGGGAGTACGTCGGTTTGGCTACGAGGGGTGTCGTCGTCGTCGGCAGCATTGGCATACCAGTCCTTGTCAACGTTGCTCAGGTCGGGAATGGCCATTGGTCTCCAGCCAAGACCGGCAAGCTGCGGGAAGTATTCAATGAAGTTTCCGACAGAAAACTGCGTCAATTCATGCTCGAGCATGATGATACCGCTGCTGCGATCGGACTTGTGCAGAGTCTGCTGGATGTAGGCTTTGACACTATCCGCTGAACCGCCTGGATTCTCTCCAGGGCATGCACTTGAGCCGTCGGCTTGAATGCACCAGTCATCGGAGTCGTAATCCCAAAGGACGCATGTGAGGCCGAAGACTTCCTTTGCGATGGCTCGGACTGTTGATAGCAATCCACTCGATGTTAGCCGGCCGAGATACGTGGGGTCATGACCTTTTGACGTTCTACAGGCGCACTGCAGCCTACTCACCTCTAGCGTCGACGTCTCCTTGAGGTGGACGGTAGAATGCGGGAAGCCTGCCAGAGAGGTCAAGCACGGCCTGCATATTCCATCCGAATTCAGCCACAATCATTTCGTCGGTCATCTCGGTGAGAAGATGGTGGGACCAGGTATGGAGAGCTAGATGCACCAAATGATTGGATGCTGCTTGATGGAACGCATCTTGATTGGCAATAATCTGAGAGCCAATCATGAAGCTCGTGCTGGTCTGATTGTGCTGTTGGAGGAAGCTGTAAAGGGTAGGCGAGTTTGCTGTGGGACCATCATCAAACGATACGCCCATCTCATTCGCAGGGGCTTCGTAGATGTCATCTGGACCAAAAGCTTTGGTCCAGGTCCAGCTCTGAGCGAAATTTGGGTCTGTCCCTGGAGGATACTGGCCGTTGCTGCTGGGAGGGACGCTGGGTATTCTCCCGGCATCTTTGGCGCGCTGATACGCTGCGGTCCACGATGCCGGGGTCATCGAGGAAGGTGGCGTCTGGTTGATGGTAGGCCATTGTCGCTGACCATTTTGTCGCTTCTGGACTGGGTGCGAGTCTGTGTCGAGGTACATGTCTCGCCCGGCAGGGGCACCCGCAACCAAAGGATAGGCCGCAAGAACGACAGCCCCAACAACGGATGAGATCAAACGCATGGTTAGTAGGGTCGGCTGGGGGAGAGGAAGGAAAGACAGGCTGGCAGGGTGGGTCAGGGATGGATGGCATGCAATGAGCGAGCGAGGAAGCAGCATCGTGTTCGATTGAAGTGCCGGTCCTTTTAAAGTACGAGATAGGAGTGCATTCTTGCTCATCGCCCAATGTCACGACACACACAATACCGGTACCGGTACAGTGCGAGCAACATCTTTGCGCGGAGCTGCGACAACTCGCTCCAGCGGGCCTCTTCGCCTCGAAGACTGCAGATAGATGATTGTCGCAGGGTGTGCGCGTGACCGTGAACAAGCTTCCTATGCAGAAACGGAGGCTTACTCGCTCAGACGTCGTGTGCTCCCGCCTACACATCAGAAGACCTCACAAATCCATCCTAGCG